ATATTCACGGTCGTTAGAACCGTGGGATTAGAAGTCTGATGGACTTGGGCTCAATTTCCAGGTCTATGTGGCTCAGTCTCCCCACATGTAAAAGGAGGACAATAAAAAGTTACATCATAGGGATTTAGGGAAGATTAAATTAAATAAGAAATACAAAAAGTTTAATGTCGAGCATGGACCATATTAATTAATTTTCATTATCATTGTTATCATCACTGTTATAAACATTATTCTCATTTCGACTATCAAGAAAACCTACTACAGATCCAGGTTGCCCAAAGGTCACACTTCTTCTCTTCCCGCACTTCTGGTGACATGTGAGACAGAACTAGGAAGGGGATTGGCCACTGGAGGACTCCAGAGGACAGCCCTCACAGAGGGACTGCAGCTAACACAGAAGGAGGCGAGGGCATTGGTGAGACGTGTCACAAGCGCATTCAAAGGCTGTTCTTTGAACAAAGAGTGGGTGTTTCTCATGCGATTTCAGAGGTCAGAAATAAGATCAGGGAATGAACGTAGTAGAGCTGCATATTTTGTATCAATGGAAATTAGTTTTCAAGGCTTGAATTATTCAAAGAATTAATAAAATTCTTCCAGAGATGATGAGTGGCCCATTGCTAGAGGCATTCAAGAAGAGAATGAATGGCACATGTCAGACTTGCTTTTAGCCTAACTAAATAAATGACTTCCAGTGCTCTTTGTACTCGGAAGGTCTTTAAGTTGTGCGAGCTTTATTCTTCTCTGACATTTCCCCCAATTAAGTAAATGATTATTGGGCATTTGAAGTGAAAAGCAAACTCCTTAGAGATTTACCACCCAAGAGAACTGGACTATGAAGACTATTATGGAACTGTTCCATTGCAAACGCTTCAGCCAAGTTACTTAAGTCACATAATAATAGCGCTTTAAACTTTAATAAAGATTCAAAAATATTTTTCAAATCTTCGCCTTTAAAAAAAAGCATTTTTGTAGTATGCTCTGTTTCCTGAGCCTTCAATTCACTATCTGCTGTGTGATTTTTTTAATTGGGCAAGAAAATGATGAAGAAAGAGCATTCGGAAAAATTCTTAACCTGTGTTTGCCTAATGATACTTGCAATATTTGTAATAATAATATAATAATACCCAATAATAAAATAATTTTAGCAATATCTTAAAAGTAGCAGATATAACATAGTAGAAATATTCTAGGTAATTCCTTAAAAGGTGCATATTTTTATATTATTGGTCAAATATTGTGGCCTGAAACAGAACATGCTGTATACGTTTGACAGCCGACTAAAATGCAGTTGCTAATTTGGGCTCAAATTCAGCAGAATAGATGTGCCACTGTATTTACTTTTCTGTTATGTTGGATAACAAAAAGAAGATAGAGTTTTGTTGTAAATTATGCTTCCCAGAATTTAGATTCATTATATAGGTTTGAAAATTGTTTTTGACGGAATGTACATTAAGGATTATAAGATCTTGAAAGCGAATTAATCAAACATGATTAAAAGATACTATTCCTGCTACAACCTATACACCAGGTTATGCCAGTAAGTACCCTAGTCGAACTTTTCTCCTTTCATAGACAATATCTGTAGCATCTTTAGTATATCCAGCTATCTCAGCCTTGCTTTATTTTCTCCAGTTATTTCATTAACCACGTTTTCAAAATAAGAATGCTATGACTTATTACTCCTAACTTCACTGAAACTTCTTTCATAGAATTTAAGTTTATATTTGAGCTATATACTTAAAAACACCAGTAGAAAATACTCAGTATTTGATATAGAATCAAAATATATTAGCCATGACAACAGTTCTTAAGAGATTCACATTTTATGCAAGATAACACACAATTAGCAAATAAAAGCTCAGTGAATTGTGGCTGTAAAGTA